GAACATCACCAGATTGCAACAGGGTTGGTAGGCAGATTGGTTGGCAGTTTCAGGAGGAACTTTCCAAGCAGATAGGGTGTCTTTGGCCCTGGGCTCCCTTGCCTGCTGCCACGGCTCAGCACAGGCACAGGGACCGCGCCGGCCGTGACGCAACGCGCCAAGCAGGCGCAGGATTGCCAGAATGTTTCTAGACAGATTTGTTTACAATTTAAGAAACCCAAATAGTCACTTTCATAATAGGAGTCCCATCTCCAGCGCATTCGGTGTATGCTGCTGTGAGACCAAAAAGAAGGGGGGAAAAAAAAAAAAGAAGCAAACTACGAGACCATATCTTTGTACAGTGATTGCAGGAACAGATGAATAAACATGCAACCTGATCCTTCACATCTGGTATTTCATCACTCCAAATACCTTATTCACATTCAAACAGATTGAATACTGTGGAAACTTTACAAGGTAGCGATGTCTTTGTAGGAGCAGCAATTCACATGGAACTTTTAAAATTAAAAGCAATAGTAAAAATAATTTGTAGCATGTTACTGTACTCTTCATAAAGCTATTTACCTCTCAGTTTCCTAACAGCAACCTAGAAAACCACTAAATAATAGCAGCTAGCTACAGACCCACACAAGCCTACAGAATGGGATTTCTTTTGTCCATGTACAAGTTCAAAGTTCAGTTTTAATATTCAATTTATACAAGGCACTTTGGAAATGAAGACTATTATTACTCATCATGCAAAAGTTCTATTATCTGAGCAGAATTTTTTAGGGAAATATCATTTTCCCTTTACTCTCATGGCAGTGCATGCCAAAAGATTTTATGTATAAGCTAATAAACAGATACAACCATTCTCAAAGTCTGCTATGAACCTTCTCACACTAATTAGTACTCATTCTTCTCTGCAAGACAACTGAACATGCTCACAAAACTTCCTTTGTAAGTAATCACTACATACTCCTCAGCAGTTCTGTTGCAGAGGTGAATACCTCCAATGCAAATCTGTAATTGAAGAGCTGTTTACAGGTCTCGAAAATTAGGGTAGAATCATTTTCTTGTCTTGAAACAAAAGTCACCTTTGCCACCTGGAAGATAAGTTAGCAGTGCTGATAGCAACACGTCTGCAGGCATTGCACTCGCCAGAGGCTCTTTGGCACTGTCCCTGCAGTTGCACTAAAGCCACACCTTGCTGTAGCTGAATGTCAAAACCAAATGAAAACACACACACAGGACCAAATCTACTCCGTGGTAACTCCAGAGTTACACCAGGGATAAAAGTAGGGCTGCATTTCACAGCAGCTTTCATTCTTGTAATCTTTTCCGAAACACTCTCCCAGGAGCAAAGACAAGCACAGGCAAATATCCTGCCAATAAGTGAGTTCACAGGAATTGCTACAAGAAACTAAACTGTCAGCAGTAACAGACCAATAATTGGAGCAAAGTACAAACACAGGACAGCCAATGCCCTCTAATGGGCTGGAGTTTTACTATGTGCTGGATAAACAAGGACAGGGAAATTTATCTGAACTGAGCTCTGAGAGGGAAGGCAAATTCTAGGAGGTCCCACTTTGTACCAGTGGATGTTTTATCAATACTGCTTTTGAAATGGTACAGATAAAAAAATTTACCAACAGCTTGCAAGACAAATTAAAATGGGTCTAAGAAGTCTTTTCTCCATAAGCTACACTTAGCTGCTTCCATAAAGAGTGTGAGCACCAGTTTGTACCCTCCTTGAAGCTTTCATGTTAGTACTCTCCTCATCCTTTTAAAGTTTTCTTTATTTTTAGTCTATATTGTACTAGAAGCAAAACCTAAGACCTTCACAACCACACAAACAAAGGAATGAGGAGAAGGAGTGATGGATAGTGCTTTCCTGCAGAAAACTTATCACTGGTCCCTTGTCTTTACCATGCATTCCCTTTCTCTCAAGAATTTCCACACTACAGTTCCTGGAATCTGCCCATCTGAAGAAAAACAAGTGTCTTTGCTTCTTACCCAATCGCTTCCTATAAACTTTAAAACAAGAGTTTCATTAAGCTTTCATTTCGTTTTCTCAGGGTTTCGACAAGAAGCTCTAACCCTGGGCTGGCTGCAGGGTCAGCAGCAGCCTAAAATGTTCCTGATCTTGCACAGGTCACAGCTTTGTCTGCAGCCTGAGGATGTCCTAGGGCAAAAACCAGTCGAGACACCCCTTACCCCATCACCAGTCATGGGGCCCTGCAACCCTTTCCTGCGGGGATAGGATCAAAAGTCTTTTGTTCTCGTCATCCTCGTGAGCCTTAAGTTACTTTTATGGGAAGGCAAGGGGAGAAAAAAAACCCTCCCCTTCCCTTCCCTCCTTCATCTGAGATCTCAGCTGTAGAGGAACAGCTGAAGTGGTTCAGGCTGCCCAGAGAGGTCACAGATGTCCCTCGGTACCACTGGGTTGGCTCTCCCAGCACGAGCCATGCAGCTCCTGCCCACACAGCACCACAGGCAGGTGCCCCTTGGCCACTTGGCCACCCCCATTCCCCAGATTTCCAGCCTCTCTGTCCTCCTTGAGCAATCCTCCTGGTGCCCCCGAGCCAGCTGACCAGGAGCCTGTACACAGCCCTCTTTGAAACACCAGTTTAAGGATGATTTTAGACCACCACAAAGAGCAGTGAAGAAACTCTGGCTTCTGCTGACATGTCGCAAAGCTCTCAAAATCAAAGGCAGAGACTTAAAATATTTCTTCAAGCAAAATCTCTGCTCTTCTCAAAGTCTTGTTCCAAAGACCAAAAACTGCAATTGCTTAACTGAATCCACACAGAGTGATCATTATATTTGCCTCCATAAAGATCATATTTGTTCTAGTACCTATATCTAAAGGTAATTTCAGTCAGAAAATGAAACGATGCTCTCTTGACCTTTTGTCTTCCATGGTTCATGAATTACTGACACATTGCAATATCCCCCAACACTGTGGAAGCTTAGAGATATTGCAATGTCTCTCTTGTAAGTGAAATAAACTTGGTATGCCACTAAAAGGCATTAAATTATTTTCATTATGCCACACAGAATCTAAAACACTTACACTGTTTTGATTTCAAAATCCTTGGAGAACAATTATGCTCTCGGGGCCATAAGACTCTATTAGAAAGTCCTCAGAAACCTAGCATGGTTTCAATAAATCCTCCAACACTACAAAGCAGTTACTCAACTTGAAGAATGAAAACATGAGTTCATCCACTGCAAAGTCAGGATGTAAATTCTGATTGTACAGTACCCTGCACTTCCTGACACAGTTTTTTCTTCTCCATCAGGGCAACACTTTAAGGCAAATTTTCAGCATCAAGCATGCATAGCTCCTTTTTTGATTGAAAATAAACTGTATTTGACATAGGATTAGCATAAATATGAGATATGTGTATGCTTATGGCATTACTAGCTACCAGTATTAATCAGCAATTAGATATGCACAAATAGCTTTATACATATATAATTTAACAAATGTTAACACTCAGGATTAGGGAACCAGTAAATGAAATCAGTGACTGCTGAAATGAATGGATAAATATGTTAACATCTTTCATTTATATGACAGCACCAAAAAATGCTTCCAAACACCAAAAAAATCAGATTTCAGGGGTGATTACGGTGGTTGTAGGGAACCTGATTTTAAAAAAGCAGCCATCCTTATTTTGGCTGATGAGGCTGTTCAAGCCTAAGTAGAGCTTTTGAGCATAAATACCCAATAAGCTTGTTTGTATATACATGCTTATGTACTCCTAGAAGGAGCACAACCTTCTAATTAGGCAAATCATGTCCCCTTTCCAAAGGCAAATAACAGCACCGAAAGGCAATCAAAACAGGCGGAAGCAGGCGAGAAGGAGAGGACAAGAGAGATTATATTCCCCTGGGCAGAGGGACAAGGGGAGGGCAGCAGAAAGAGGGGGGAGAGAAAAGCAAACACCCAGGCAGGAAACCCAGCCCCGTCAACTTTCTGCCAAGGGCAGCTGAGATGCTTCATCTCAACTCATTTTTTTTTCAGACATGAAGTTTGGTGTGGCCGCCAGGGTCACACAGCAGCTGCAGAGGGGGCCAAGGGGGCAGGGGAGCCTGGTCCCTCCAGCAGCAGAGTCCCTGTTTCCATGACCCCGGGCAGGGGCACAGCTGGTGGCAGCTGCAGCACCATCTGCTCGGGGCTGGGCCCTCGTCTCTGCCTCGGGGCTGCCCAGCCAGGTAGTGGCAAGGGTCAGTGTGAGCATCCCCAAGGCACAGCAACACAGCACCCCCAGGATGGGGACCCTGAGCACGGGCTCTGCTGGCCCCAGAGGAAGCTCTGCTGGTCCCAGAGGAGGCTCTGCTGGCCCCAGGGGAGGCTCTGCAAAGGGCAAAAGAAGCAGCGATGGAGCGAACGAGCTTGGAGGAGCAGGATGGAAGCTGGAGACCCCAGAGCGTGTGTGGATGTCAGTGTCCCTCCCTGGTGCCTGTATTTATGGAATGCTGTCAGCACATCAGCTGATTTATAGCAGTTTGAGTGGAGGGAAGGGGAAAGAAAAGAAAAAAGAAAGGCACAAAAGCACCCCTAACTTGCCTCTTTCATCAAGAGGCTTCTCAACACAACAAGGACTATCACTCTGCAGTTCAGTATTGCATACCCTGCCACACCACCACATAGACTATGCTTCCCACTTCCCTGTCTTCACCATTGTTGAAAAATAAAGAAAAATGCACACTCTTTTTAATGGCCAAGGAGTGATGTGCTTAAAGGCTTTTTTTAAACAGACACAGCATAGCATTCGTTAAAGACACAATTCTGCACCACTATTATTTCCCAGTGCCAGTGCTGAAGGAATTGGCTCAGACAGTCCTGCCCACCACATCAGCCCAGCTGAGCTCCCTCAACTTCATAGATTTTCTCAAGATTTACTCCAAAAGCACAAAACTCAGAGCCAGGAATTTTGCATACAAACAAGCTCAGCTGTACAGTTCTCATTGGAGCAATTATTTCCAAAGACTAAATGTGTAGCACTTACCATACATTTTGCCTTCATCTGATAAGATGATTTTCCTCCTCCCACATGGTGGATAGATAGCTAGAGCCTCCTGAAAGCTCTGCTCAATGTCAGGGCTCCAGACACCTTCTGCATCGTTGTCAATAGGTTTATCTGCAGAGTCACTCATTCTTTCGATGTCTTCGGCAGGACTCTCGCTGCCGCTCCAGCTGCTGGGCTCAATGGTGATGGCTGGGGTCTCCAAGCCTAAGCCTGGAGTCTTCAAGGAGATAAATCTGCAAAACAAACAACCCCAAAGGGTATTAAAGACATGGAACTCCAGGCAAACTTTTCTCTCTACTTCTGATGTTCAGTAAACAGCAGCTGAGCAGTAATGGCAGTAACATGAGCATGGGATGAGCCCAGGAGAAGGGAAAAATTACTAACCATTCCACCTCAGATGGGCAGAAGTGGAGCAACAAGGTTGTCAGAAAGGGAACTTTACTATGTTTTCTGTGTACAATTGCATGAAGACATAGAGCATCAGGTTATTTTACACAGGTAGTCAACGTGGGTCTTAATACTAGGGAAAACTCTCCAGCCACATTCCATCTGGCTCAAGACTGGCACCCTTAAATAAGAGCCAGATCCTCAGGCAGGGGTGAATCAGCTGGAAGGGAAGCACACCACTTTATGCCACAGTGACCACCAGAGCCTAAACCCACTTGAACCTAAAAACAAAAGCAAAAACTATTATTCACATTCGTCCGGGTGTCAGTGGAGCAAATGGAATTACACCAGCGATGACACAGCTCGGTGCAATTAGGTGAAAAAGGCTGTAATTTTCAGATAAACAACACAATCACAACATACAAACAGAAATCTTTAAAATTACAACACCAGAGAAAGGAATTACGAGGACAGATATATGCTCTGCCTTTTTTTAAAGGTCTCTGTCACGGAACCATAGCAGAACAAAAATTACAAGCTTCAAGTTGCTGAATCAATTTAATAAAGAATAATTTAATAGAGCTGCACCTGCTCACACCAGCAGAGCTGCAGATCTGTCAGTGTTCCTTTTATATTTTTGAGAGAAATACAACTCTGCTATAAAGATTTGCTCCAGGCAAAAAAGCTGCTATAGCAGAGCAAATTCACCTCTGGTGTAATTCTTCAGGAAGTCAGTGAAATAACACCAGGAACAGATTTGGCTCAACATGTCTAGGCATAATGCAATTTCATTTTGAAAAACGAAGAAGTTTGGTGACTCTAACTGGTCTAAGTGGATGGGAGTGTTCAAACATGCACGTATGAGCTCCACACACACCGAACAATCGTCTGCTGGCTCAACATGCAAACCCCCTAAACTCTAACACTTCTGTTCTGCTGGGGCAGAAGGGAGGGACATCCCCTCCTGCACACCCCCATCCTCACACTGATGCACCTCTCCCTGGGGTCTCAGGCAAAAAGCAGCCGAACAGCCTTCAGCCCACAGAGAAAGAAGGGGGTGTTGTACATGGAGGGCCATGGCACCTCTGGCCAAACACCTTTGGGCTGGAGAACTCCCTGAAAGAGGAAATATTTGCAGCAGCCCCCACCCAAACTCACCAATCAGCCAATCACTAGAGATAACCAAAACCTGATCGTCCAGTCCCTGGGAGGATCCAGTGCCTTGCAAAAAAACAGAGCTGAAACTGGGGAAACAGGGAGCAGCCTCTGTCTCACAAAACAACATTGCCAGTTTGCTCTGAAAATATGGGGGTTTTCCACTTCTCCTGGCTCAGCAGGAGCTCAGAGGGAGCAGGACATGCAAAACAGACTTCCAAGAACTTGCTTTCCCTTGCTTGCATGAGTGTTTCTACAAAGAGGCATTTCCAAACTTCCCATTGGTTTGAACATTTCAGCACAGCTCATGAAAATGTTGGTGCCTACCCACCAGCAATCACAGGGCTAATCACTGCCTCAAACCCCTTTTAATAACTGATAATGAGGGAGCAGATGGATTCACAGGGAACCACACACAAACGGTAAGTGGGTGAGAAGTCTGGCCAAATACACCACTTATTGTCTGGGAAATCCAAAACGTACAAAATTTTGAAATTCTCATCGCATAAAGGGAGACGTAAACCATGATAAAATAGTCAAGCACCATCCCTCAATCCTCAGAAAGCTGAAGGGTTGATTCCATCCCTCCAAGAGTTGAACCTTTCATGCAAGGTTTAGCCAAAGCATAAACACAGGAATACTGGGAAAGTACTGACAAAAAACAATCAGGTCCACTTAAGCCTTCACATACAGGGGGAAGTTTAGGCAAATGAGAGCTAATTGAATGTTGACAGGGATAATTAGGGGGGTTCAGTCTTAGTGCCAGAGTGCAGGGGAAATGGCTGCTGGAGGATTTATTGGCCTCATGTGATCGAGGCCATGACTGAGCATAGCATGAGAAGCACAGAGTGGGACTGTTTACAGGTCTGTTCTCCAAAGGTGACCATGGAAAACCTTCCCCTCCCTGATTCCAGGCCCAAGGACACACAGCACAGCCACGGGCAGCTTTGCTCAGCTCAACCACCCTCTGCTTACAAAACTTGCCACAGTCATAGCCTCAAGTCTTATTATCGTCGTATAAACCAGCCCTGGTTATTACATTATGCTGAAATAATAATTAGAATGCACAAGGAACACAGTGAGGCTCTAAAGTAATTAATGTTACTTGATATTCCTGTTAGATCTTGCATTGTGTTTACTGGTGAATTTTCACTAATGTGCTATCTCCCTTTCCATCCCTTTTTACCTACTTGGATATCATCTTGAGGCATGAGTAGCTACTATTCCAGCCTCTAAGTGTAAGGCAACCAAGTGTTTCTTCCAGGACATCTGTACAACTGGGGCAGGGAACAACCTGCTGGAAGAAAACCTCTCAATGCTAAAGGTTACTCTCCGTGATTTCCATTTTGGTGATTGCTGACACTGCAGATCAAGCTCCAGAACCAAGGAGAAAAAAACCCTTGCATTATAACAGATAAATGGCTCCGTCTCATTTCAGGAAATAATGAGCTAACTCAGCTAATCACTTCCAGCTCAGCTCTACATATCAAAAGACAATTCCATCTCCTTCTTAGGTTGAATCCTAAGGACGCAACTGGATGAAAAATTTCAGACCTGTTCTGCTGGAGTTCAATATGATTACCAAAAATAACACAAGCTGCCAACAGATGAGATTTGTTGCACATTTCCAATGAGCTATAAACCTCGTGTGAAAAATGTGAATATAAACTTCAATTTGAATTTATTAAAATCACTTTAAAACAAGCTTTCTTTATATTAGCAAACTGCGAATCTTGCAACACCAACTTTCAGCAGAGGAAGAGTTAAGCTCCAGGGAGCAATTAATCCCATCTCCCCTCCCCAAAACCAGAGCTGCTACACATGACAGATCAAGTTTGAGAGTTTTGTATTTGTTTTTTATCATGTCAGCTTGTAAAGAACCAATTTTGTGCTTCTACTTTCTGTTAACAAAATTAAAACACTTCAACACAACCTAGAAAACCAAGCAATAAAAAGGCTCCAAACAACAAACACAACCAAAAAAAACCCAGAAGATTTAGGCTTAAGCACACTGCTGCAGGTTAGGAGGTCTCCCTTCAGTTTCCCTTTTAACACCAGTCTTACCCATTCCAAGACACCTTCCCCTGTGCATAAAACTCTTAGCTGCAGACCCAAATGCATCCTCCTTGCAGTTGCTTTCTACTCTCTCACAGTTAAGTGACTTCTAAGTGTCTCTGCCTTTCTCATGCACATATTAAGACACCTTTTCTCTGCATGGCAAACCTATGTCCCCCCTCAATGTTATATTTAGGGCAGAAGAAACTGTTGGGGCAAGATTGGATTTTATAAACACATTTTATAGCAAATCTATCCAAGACAACTTGATGAGGTTGACCAATCTTTCCAAAACGTGTCTTTCAGAATAATCCTAATTCTTGAGGTAAAGATTTCGAGTGTTGAAGGTGTAAATTACACTCTTAAGAATACATTTTACTTTAGTTCACAAACAACCTCATCTTAGCTTCACTTATATAAAGACAATGGGACCAGGAATCCAACAAGCTTTTTAGAAGCATCAAGTTGATAATGAGCAGATGAGTAAAAATCAACTAAACCTAAATTTGCAGATGGCAGATTTTCTCTGAAGGCTTGAAAAGTTGCAGGCCCATGGGATTTTCCTTCTGCTTTGTTCAGCAGCACAAATCCACAGCTGGAGCACTAAAGCTCTGGAGAGAATCCAGAGGAAGAAAGTTATCAGATCTAGAAAACATGACCTACCAGGAAAGGAATTAGGTTTGTTTAAATTTAGAGAAGACTGATGTGAGAAGATAACCACTTTCAAATAAGGAAAAGGTAACAGCAAAGCAGAGAAGCAGCTCTTGGCCATTTCTACCAAGGATAGGATATGAGGCAAAGAAGTTTAGCTGCAGCAAGAACACTGTAGGTTGGGCATCTGGAAGACCATTCTGACCCTACCAACAGGCACACACAGAGACAATCAGCTCCTGGGGGCACTGGGAACTGCTGGGGGAGAGAGGATGTTCAGAGCAGGTGACACAAGCATTTCTCAGGAACAATGGAGCTATGCTTAGCCCTGGCTGAGGTAGAGGAATGAACTAGATGATGCCATGAGACTCAACAGAAGGAAACCTGCAGTGAGAACACATCCTTGACTAGGCATGGGAGAATCCAGATGCCTAAGAGACTGCACAGATGTCCTAGTGAGCAGCTTTGCAAGCTGCAGGGTGGAAATCCAGGCAAACCCAGGCTTCCTACTGCAGATGGCTGTGGAGCCACATGGTCCTTTGCTCTGCAGTCTCCTTGCAGAGCTGCTGGGCAGTCTGCTGCAGGGACATCACTACCAACAGCCACCCCTGAAGCAGCTCATCAAGGCAGGCAAGGTGGGAAGGAAGAGCAAACCAGGCTCCATCTCCTGCTGGTGCTTTCCAGGGGAGTTTTGGGAGATGAAGTTGCCTCATCCCCAGCCACCCCATTGTCCTTCTCCTGCCTGACCCCCCATATCACATCCAGATTTCTCAAGACTTCAATAAGTAAATGTGGAAGTGGTGGAAAGCCTGAATTTTATAGGATTTTATATTTCCGCTTTGCCAGCAAAAGTATCTTTGCAGCGTTGCTGCAAGTCAAGAGTGTAAAAAAAAAATTTACTTTTTTATTTAAAAAAAAAAAATCACA